AGGGATGAGCTTGAGGGAAATGGGAGGCCATTTGCTTTAGGAATTCCTCAAAGGTAATAGTCCTTCCCTCTCACCCACCCAGTCCTCTTCAAAGAATCTGGACCCACTCAGTTTGAAATCAGATTCTATCTGGGGGAAGTAATTTTTTGCTCCTTACACTTGTAGCTGGTGAATTTGGTTCTCCCAAGACACTGGAAATGATCTAGAGGATGAACGGGTGGCTGAAGGCCTATAGAGCTGAAGTTGTTAGAGAGAGATCTGACTCAGGCAGGAGCTGAAAGTGCAGTTACCTTGGAGGCAGCCAGCAACAGAATAAGGAGGAGGTGGAAATAAGACATTCAACCATGGCAGGTTTTAATGACAGTTTGGAGCTCTATGATGCTCAGTCTGTGTGAATTTATATAATCATTCTAAGTAAGACAGAAGAAGCCATTAATAAGTAAAGAGTGATGTGGAGAGCCAGAGAGGGAATGAAATGGCTGGTGGTGTTCATGTCGGAGGATTGAAGTATCTGTGGAGAACAGAAGTATTTCTATTTGCAGGAAGTTGAGCATTCCCTTTTGAGCTGCAGCTGTGGTGGGACAGTGCTCTGCTGCTGCTGAGTTCAGCTGCAGAGCAGGCAGAGGGACAGCCGGGTGAGGTTCATTACCCTTTCTGTGCCAGCAAATGCTTTGTCAACAAAAGCTTTAAGTGGGCAGAGCTTTCCTCATAGTAGCAAATAGAGATCTAGCACTTAGAGAGCTTCATGGCTGCTTTTCTAGAGATGGTTTGTCTCAACCTCTCCTGGGATTGAAGATGCTCTCCAGAGCAAGGTATCCATGCTACTTTGGCTTTGTTTGGATCCACTGTGTGCTGGCAGAGAAGAGGGATCTCCATCAGCTCACAGTCTGGCAGAGCTGCTTGACATCTCATGAATACACATTCCTTTTTTGCCCCCCCAGTTTCTCCACAGCCCTGTGTCCCCCAGATAAACTGTGTCCACCTGCCAGTTGTGCAGCAAAGTAGCAGAGCAGTGAGGACTTGGCTGCTTGATAGTATGACTGCCTACAGACCTAGGAGAAAGGATGAGGGCAAGGGCATGAATGTCTTTCTTGGGGAAGGAGGTGTAAAGGTTGTGACATGTGAGGGGGCTGCACTGGAGGTCTATGAGGTGGGCAGAGATTGTGGGAGGAAGAGGGAGGTGGAGGTGGTGGCTGGGGGCAGCGGCTGGAGGGAGCAGGGCTCCTTCATTGTGCGCATCGTGCGCATCATCTCGGATGCAGTGTCTGTGTGAATCGCCGTCAAAGCAGAGATTTCACACCACACAAATTTCTGAGTTTGAAAAGGGAGGGAGGTGGGTAGAGGAGCTGGAGAGGAGGAGGGGGAGGGAGAAGATGCAGCCTGGCCGGGCGCCAGCGCCTCTTGCTAACGCCACGGGGAAGGTGGCATCCTTCCCTGGCATTCCCTCCGGCCCCCGCGCTCCCTGCTTCCTTTCACTTTGGTTGTGTCTTCTGGAGGCAGCGTGCTCTGTCTAGAGCTGTTTACAGAGTGATGCTTTGTTCTCTGTCTCCTCATCTCCTTTCTCACAGAGTGAGTATCCACTCCTCCTCTGCTTTCTGTCTTTTAACCTCTCCTTCTTCTTCAGTTCTCCTCCCCCAGGCTGTTTTACCCCTTGCTTCCACATATCCCTCTCCTGTGTTCTCTTACCCTGGTGGCCTCCTGTCCCTCACTATCTGCTCTACTGTCGCTCATTTCCACTCCTGCCTCCTCCATCAGTGCTCATGCCATCATCGCTCTTTGATCCTCTCCTCATTTTTCTACCTCTTACTTCCCTTCCACTTTTACTGCCTGTTAACCCTGCTGAGACACGCAGGAGCTCCCTAGTGTAAATCCCCACCATCCAGCTCTCCATCCAGTTTTCTCCATGCTGTCTTCTATGTGCCAAGCAAACACATCTCACAACAGCTCAAAGTGTAACAAGGTAATACACTTATACCCATCAAAGCATGAGGCAGAGGTTGGTCCTGTGGCCCCACAAGGTCACTGAGGAGCCTGAGTTTTGCTTCCATTGCCCTCTGGCTGTGAGAAATGTGTGGAACCCCTCATCCCTTTGAGTCCCACCTGCCCATAGTCACAGCCACCAAAGGAGATAGAGAAATCTCTTGACCTAAGTGCAAGTGAATGTTGGGTCAGTCACAAGGGCCATAGGTGGACCTTTCACCAACAGTGGCAGGTGCTGTGCTGTGGGTCACTCGGGGACCACAAGCAGGGTACAGCAAAGGGAAGCTGGTGTCCAGGATGCTTTTTGACATCTGAAGTCTGAAGAATTAAACACCCCCTTCCTCTCTGGGATGCCGCTAGCTTTATCCCAAGTAGAGCTGGTTCATCAGAGTTTAGGAATCCCACAGGCAGGACCTGAGCTGAGCCTGGTGCCCCAGGCCACCTACCCCTCACATCTTGTCATGTTGCAGGAGTCCCACATCCATGTGGTCCTGTGGTGCTGGCGTTTCTGGGCTTGCCAGGCCCACCTCACTGTGGGTACTGCTCCACAGCTGACCTGCTCCAGACGGGTGTTTCCTGGCGTGTGGCTCTGCAACTTCTACTCTGAAAACAGAGCAAATCCTTCAAACTACATGGTCCCAGCTCTCACCTGCCTAAGGAGCATTATAAGGGCAGATTACCTGCAGGTAACTGAGGTATCTCTGGAGGATGCTGAACTATACAGTGCAGATACGCCTGCCCTTTAATGGGAAAAAAAGAGAAATTGTGTGCCTTTTGAGGACAGATGCCTTCTTAGTCTTGTTTATCTCCTTTTTGTCCTACCTGTGCTGAGGCTCTCTTCTTTTTGAACCAGCAGGGCTAAATTCTGCCCTGATGTAAATCTCTGCTGAGATAAATTGGTGTGATCTTGCAAAAATCATTGGAGTAGCTCTGGATTTATGCTGGCTGCTACTGTGAGCAGGATTTGGCGCATGGAGTGTGGTAGCCATAGCTCACTGTGTCGTGCTCTGCATTTCCAACCAGCACTGCAGGTGATAAGCAAATCCTGGCAAGAGGGTCCCTCTCAAACCAGAAAAGGCTTCCTTTGGATGTCCTTTGTGGGGCCAAGTTAACCAGCCAGGCTGCAGTTTTGGGGTGGACACTGTGGAAAGGTTTTAGCCAGCAGGGTTGCACAAATGGAGTGGAAAAATGTCATTTTTGCATCTTGCACTTTGCGGAAAACAGGAAAATGCGTTTGTAACTGCTATTTCCCATGGGTGCAGTACTATATATATATATATATAGTATATGCCTTGTGCAGCAAAGGGGGATGAGTCATGCCCGTGAATGACTCTTTGGTCTCAGTGCCTGGCCAGGACAGACTCTACACCTGCCACTTTGGGCAAGGTGCAGCTTCCCCCCAGGGATGCTTCAGGTCTGTGTCTCCACTGTGCTCTCCTGTGCCCACCTACCCTGTCCATGAGGATGAGGTATTGTGTTTCCAGCAGCCTTCCTAGGGGTGCCAAGCTGGGAGGCTGTAATACCGATGCATGCAATCCCAAAGCCATGGTGATAATATTTAAGAGCTTCATGTCCCGTTATCCTTCTCCCCCCTCCGAGATTTCTCCTCCACCCCAACCGCATTACAGATAAAAGGGTTAAGAGCTCACTTGGGCCCCCTGCCCGGAGAGAGGGCAGTTGCAATGTTGTATCTAGACTCAGTGAGGATATATATAAATTCCCTCCGTCTCTTCGGGTCTATTTATAGCACAGCAGGCAGTGGCAAAGGCTCTCCTCAAGGCTTCATCTCCTACAAACAGACTTCACAGACAGCAGAGAGATAAATTTAGCACACGAGATTTCTTAAAGAGCCAGCAGCTCTGCGGGGCTGCTCGCCTGCCCTGTGCAGCCCCTGCCCTGGTATCCATGGGATGATGCTGCCCCACTGGGGGTGCTTGTCCCCCCTCCTTTTTACCCCACCCTTTCCAATTTTCTGTCCAGCTTCATCCATTCTCTCCCTCTTCCTGGTCTTTTTTTTATGCCATTGGTGGTTTTTTTTCTCTTTTTTTCTCCCCTTTTTTGCTGGTTCGCCATCTCATCCTCTCCGCTTTCTTGCTTTTCCTTTTTTCCCCCTCCCTTTTCTCTCTCCCAAGCCACAGGGCTCAGAAGATAAAGCTTTCTTGTTAACAGTTCACTGGTTATGCCTACATAGTAAAAAAATGTGTAGCTTGATTAATGCCTTCCAGATGGTTAATTGAAAAAAAAGGAGGGGGGGGAATGCACCAATCTCTCCCCCATCTTCAGTACTCTGCGCACATACATCGCACAGGAAGAAAACTGCATTAAGGAGTAAGGGCAGTAATATATTTGAGAAACAGGGGCAGTCTGTTAACGTTGCCAAGCTGGTGAGTTAGATGTGGATTTGCTCTGTCCCTGCTTCATGTCCTCTTCCTGCACTTGTGGGGTCTGGGCTTTTGGATTTGGCAGTGCCAAAGTGGGTGTGATGGAGAGGGCATGGGTGGAGGGGAGAAGGCTGTAGGTAGGTCATTGGGGCAAATCAGGAGGAAAGGTGATGAGGTCAGCTATTCTTCTCCATAGGTCACTGCTGGGTGATTTAATCAATACCTGTTTGGTTTTATGGGCATGTATTGGCAGTCTCCCTATTACAAACTGACATGCCTCTCTTATTCCCCGCTCTGCCTACTTCTGGTTTCTTTGTCTCTCTCAAGGGAGAGACAGAGGAGGAACACAAATCCCTCCCCACCCTGTTAATAGAGATACTGCCTTGCTGACGTGAGTCACGAAGGGTTTATGCCATACAGTTGAGGTTGAGCAGCATCCAGCCCCCCGCCCCGCACACCTCCCACCATGGATCTCCCTGGTTTCCAGGGAAACAGCAGCCCCAAATGCTGCCTGACTTTCACGTCTGCCTTTCATTTCTCCTTTTTCTCATTTTCTTTTTTCTTTTCTTTTTTTTTTTTTTATTTTATATTTTTTAAGGAAAAACACAACTGATTTTTTCTTCTCCCTTCCCCTTTTAGGATCACGACCACAGCCGCTTGCATGATGGACCTGCGGAGGTACCCCCTGGACCAGCAGAACTGCACACTGGAGATCGAGAGCTGTGCGTATGCCTCATGCCCATCCTCTGCCACCTGGGGTACCTGATGCCACCCAGTCCAACCCACAGCATCCTGCTCCTGGGATGCCTCCCAAGTGTTTTATGGGCTACCCCTCCTGCAGCAGCACCAGGGTCCCTAATTCAAACTCCATCCTGAAGGGACCTTGTGTGTGAAATGCCCAGGACAACAGAGCTCTAACAGCAGGCTGGGCATTAAAATCACTTTCACCCTCAGAAGGGGGGTGGAAGCCTAACAAATCCCTGAGAGTCTACCCTCACTCATGGCTGGCCCTGCTCTGCTTGGGAAATGGGAACCAAGCCCTCCCGCACCTGGATCTTCCCTTGGCTCTTATGGAAAATCTCTTCCAACCGTGCTGGTGGAGGAGGTCCGGCTCTCCCTCATAAAAATGCACTGCAGTATCCCCACAGGAGCAGTCCAGAGCAGCAGATCTCACTGTAATGATGATGCAGTTTCAGCAGTGATTATCAGAGAATTGCTTTCTTCATAAAAGAGGTCCCACGGCATCCATAGCTGGAAGGTGCCGTGCCGCCTCCCAGCCCTGCCTGTGCCTGGGAGCCCCCTTCCTGCTCCCGCTCGCTCGGGTTGCTCGGGATGCACAGCACTTGGTGTGGCGGGTAATGGGATGTAAATTAGGTCCTGCTGGAGGCACTAATGACATGTCATTTCTGGCACTCCTTAGCATTTTGAGAATAGTTTACCGTACAACCAAGAAAACAGAAGGCAGAGAATTACCCACAGTTCCCCACGTTGTGATTTTGTTCTTAATGGGACATGTCAAGCCAATTTGTTAGTCAAAGCTATGTTTCCTTATGATATTTCTAAGATCCATGCTGAGATGAAGAGATTCAATAGTTTCCTTCCTCAGAGCTTTTGTCTCTTACACACTTGCACGTTCGAAATCTGCAGGGCTCCATTTTGTTTCCTTCCAAGTCCACGCAGCTCTGGAATAACAGTCCTTTTATGCTGGCATACAAATATTATATATTAAAACCCCAAAACCCCAAACCCACCAAAATAGCCCTTTCATGGTACAGAGGTGCTGGATTTGGAAAGCAGCAGCAGACAGCTGGGGTCTCCTTCTCCACTGTAGCTCAGGACACTTACCTGCAGGAGATGAGCCAGTGCTGGTACTGCTTGTTGATCCTATCCCTTCATCCCACAAATCGTCCTTACTCCATACCCCTGCCTAGCTGTGTGCCAGGATTCAACAAAAACCCTGATGAGGCAGGCTGCAAACAGGCCGTTAATCTGACATTTTAAGATGTCATATCAACACTTTATGATATTCCAGGTTGTAATGCCTTGTCTTTGTGCAAGTTCTTTTGCTTTTTAAAAGTAAAATGGAAATCTGGTTTTCTTTTTAAAGCTAGAAATCAAAGCAAAGCATTTATTTATAGACTGAGCAACCTTTCCCTTTCGAATCACTTTAAAAAATGGCTTCCTGAAAAACATGTTTGATTTCATATTGCGTAATGCCATAATAGAAAAAAAAGATACAGAAAAGGGTACCCCATACCAGCAGGTCATGGAATAAATGGAATAGAGCTGGTTAACTGCGAGATAGCCTAAAATTAATTACTGTAATTTGGCATTTTCATTGCAGATCAGGAAGCAAATTTGAAGTCACTGCTTTTAAATATGTGGATGATGAAGATGGCAGTCCACATGGCTTACTTGCTGCATCTATGAATACCTCTTGATCTGAATGCATCCAGAATTCATTTGGATGCAGCTAAATGCAAAGGTCTGTGCCTGGGTGCAGGAGCACAGGCTGCCACTCTGAGGGACTTGTACCCCCATGGGTATTGACCTGGGGGAATGATAAAGGGATGGCACCCCAGAGCATCGCTGCTGGAGGGGCTATAGGAAGGCTCTTCTAAAGGGCTGGAGTGAGTCTTGGTTATATAAAGCAGGGAGCCATGAATCAGAGCAGGGCATCAATTAGCCTCTGAATACATTGCTGGTGATCTGGGGAAAGGGGCTCTGTCTATGTTTGGGTGTGAAAATAAAGAAAGGAAGTTGAGAAATCAGAAGAGGTTGAGAAAAGATGCTGGAAAGTGGTTCAAGGGCTAGAGCAGATGTTTTGCAATGGGAAACCTCAATAGCTCAATCTGATTTGTTTACTGCAAAGGAGGTAGAGAGGTGACTTGTTTACAGGCTGGGCGCACCTCTGCAGAGGGGGAGTGCTGGGTGGAAAGGGCTTGGTAACCTCCTCGACAAATTCGGAACAACCACCAGAGTCTGAAAGTCTGAGCCAGATGAATTCAAATGTAAAATCGTACACAATGTTTTCGACTGAGAGTGTTTGATCTGCTGGAAGCAACCAGCTGGAGGAGTGGCTGTTTCTTGCTGCTTGCCACACTTGGTCTTGGTGCTCTGGGCGAGATGCTGCAGTTTCCCCTTCACAGATGATGCAAATACCAGGTCCTGTGCACAAAGCTGGGGTACTTGAGGCAGTGCAACACCCTGAGGTAGCCCAATGTCTGTGGCAGATGACATGATAACCTAAGGGTCCTAAATCTCTGTGGGCTCATAGGTGTGGGTGCTTTACCACTCACTGCCATGGGAACAGGGTCATGCCATGAGATGAGGAGGTGGAGCCCTGGCTTGGCTGTTTTACATCAGAAGCAGATCTTGCATGGCATTTGGAAGATCATTATTATTTCTTAGCACCCATGAATAAGTGCAGTAATGACTGAGAGCACAGGATGTGGGTTTGGAGGCTACACAGTCATCAAATAATTCAGTTTGGGAAGAGACCTCCGGGTGTCTCTAGTCCAGACCGCAGCTCAAAGCAGGGTCAGCTATGAGATCAGACCAGGTTTCTTATCTCTTTCTCCACTTCTTACACCACCCTCAAAGGTTCAGCTCTGATCTGTGGTATCCCTTGGCTCTTAAGGCTGGGTAGAAGAATATCTCCTCCATGGTACATTCAACAACCCATCATTTCCCAGATCCCACTGGTGCTGGTTTTGGTGCCAGCTCTCTTGTGGCTGTTATCCTTGCTAAGTATCACAAGCCAACTGCCTCTCTGCTGCAAGGGCTTGTGGACAAGGCTGCCATGCTGCAGTGCAGGCTGTGAATCTATGTGGTCTATGGGCATAGGTGAAGTTCATGCTCTAAAGGAAGCCTTGCACTGTGCCATACCAAAGCCTGTACATATATTACTGCTTCTTTGCACACAGAAGTTCTCCTATGCAGCTCTGCACTTTGCTTAGATTAAGAGGCCACCCCTTGTGAAGCAATAGCCACAGTGCTTCAAAACCCAGCTTGCCACAAGCGGCATTAGTTCTTAAGTGGAGATGAATCCTTGCTCACAAAGGCAATGGGCAAGGCTGTAAACATCACACTGATGGGAAGGGAGTTGTTTGATTTCATCCTCTGGGCCTCATTCCCTATAAGTCTAGAACATCTCAGGAGTCTTTCTCTTGGGACTGTGGCTCTGGGCTCCTCAGCACTTCCACCTGTCTGGCATGTATAGGTTGGTAAGATGCCCTTGACTGAGTTGAGACATACATTCCCCCCGCAACATATGGGAAGAGTATGTGTTACCAGCCTGACTCCCTCTCTTCCATTAGCACTTTTTCAGCCAGCACACGGTAAAAGCAACCCCTGATCTCAGAGACTCTGCTCCAAATTTTGTCTGATGGTACCTAGAAGAAGGAGGTTTTCTCATGTTCAATTTTCTTTTCAGCTGCTGTTGTGGATCTTTTTCTCTCTGGGAATGTTTAATACCTAGATGCTCTGTTTACCTTGTCCCCACCGGAATGTGTTGTGTGATCTCCCCCTTCTGGTAAAAGGAGGCAGGTTTTAAAAACCAAAATGCCGTGTTTGGTGCATTTGACAGGCTTCCGATGCACAAGTCCCTGTCATATCAGCAGTGGAGATTATTGAGTGGCGAGTCAAGGCCTGGCCACTTCTCACCTTTTTCTAGTGAATTCTAGCCAGAAGTGGGAGCTCTGACTACTTTTTTTGTCTTCCCCTGGGGACTGTACTGCCAAGCTCAGCTGAAGAAGAAAAGTACGTCAGCAGGGAGGAGCTATGCCTGCTATCTGATGGTGTGGGGCTCCCTTTGGATCCTCTTCCAGATAACTTAGTGAAAATGGGGGTGTTACCAGCTCCAGCTTGTCAGCTTAGTTCTCACTCTGTGCTTCTTCATCTCTGCAGATGGTTACACGGTTGATGACATTGTCTTCTTCTGGCAAGGAAATGATTCTGCTGTCACGGGGATGGAGGTGCTAGAGCTGCCCCAGTTCACCATTATCGAACAGAGGCTGGTCAGCAGGGAAGTGGTCTTTACCACCGGTAAGTCTCTGCTGAAGGGATGCCATGGAATGTGCAAACCTTTTGCTGATCAGCATCAGTGTGGTTGTTCCCCTGCTTCAGATGCTGAGGCATTAACTTAGGATCTAGGCTTCAGCTTAGGGTCACATTCATTTGGAAAAGAGGCATTTTCTGTGCTCAACAAATCATCAAATTTCTTTTGGTTTGAGTTTTTTGGGGGTTTGGTTTGGGGTTTTTTTTAGGGTTTTTTTTTTTTTTCTTCTCTTCAGACATTTCTGGGAACATTTTTTTTTTGCTGCAGTTGTTTTCATTTCTTAGTCAGAACAGTCAAAACACCAACCGAGCTCAAACCAGAACCTCTTTAGAAGATTCTCAGCCTTTACCTTATCATGTGGTTTTCAACTTGCTCCCAGAGCTACTGTAGGTGCAACAGTAAGCATAAGAATATATCAGTTGAAAAGCAAGTGGTCTGTGATAGGATGCAAACCCATCTGTGCATGCCAATTAAAAGATCTGGAGAGAATACCTTGGACGATTCACATACTGCCAGTTGGAAAGGTGGAAGGGTTTGGATTTTGGTTGCTGTCTTGACTTTGATCTGGCACGGAGTTCACTGCCAAAACAGCATGCCACACACCTGCTAAATAGGACAATTTTTGAAATGCCATGAAATCACAGCCTGAGTCTATCAGCAGTGGTGGCAGATGGTGATGTTGCTACAATAGCGCCTCGGGGGCATCATGGGAGCAGGGTGTCATTGCACTGGTGATCTAGAGACCTGCAACAAGAGGTAGTGCTCCTCCAAAATAAATTTGCAGTCTAAATAGGTAAGACCTTCATGGAAAGACTGATGGAATACTGTGTTCAAGCTATGCAAATGGCATATAATGTTGAGAAAACATGACCTTCTTTTTCCTAGTCTACTTCCTTGGTCATTAAAGACTGTCTTGTTATTTTCACTGCCAACCCATGATTACACCCATGTTTCAGGCTGCTGTGTTGCCTAGGGGAAGGAGGAATGACTTGGACTTTGGTTCACAGCCATAAGAGAGGTCCTGCTTTGTTCCTGTCAGAATGACCCTGATGCAATGAAAGAACTGTAGAAATATCAGTGTCCTCATTAGGTTTGGAAAAAGATTAGGAAGAAGTTGCAACAACTTGGAAAGAATTAAGAAAGACCTAGAGATTAACTAACAGTACTCTATTTGCATATGAATTTACCCAGTCTGACCATAACCCATTTTTAGAACAGCTAGGGAAAAATATGATTCAGATCTTCATTGCTGTTTGGAGGCAAAGTTAGCACATGAAACATTAGAAAATCATCTCACTGCATCTAGATATGGGGTTAAAGTCTCTTGTGTAAGCCTGTGTCAAATTGGCACACACTATTATAGCATTTTCAGTACTGAACAGACATTCTCCAGTGATGTTTGATATAATAATGTATTTTATGTAGAGTTTCCTTTCTTCTTAATATTCTGAGCCATCTGAGCAGACTCTGAAGAGCCCCCATCTAAAAACTGATGAGTCTGCATAACTAAAGGAAAAAAAAGAAATTTCTTATTATCCCTGCCTCTTGACAGCATTTTCCAAATAAAATTTCAATTTCTAACCTAAGCTCTTACCATAAATACAGCCTTTTCCTCCTCTCAAACATCTCCCTTTAATATCTCATTGACAGGTTCATATCTGCGCTTATCCTTGAGTTTCCGGATTAAGAGGAACATTGGTTACTTCATCCTGCAGACTTACATGCCATCTATTCTCATCACCATCCTGTCCTGGGTCTCCTTCTGGATCAATTATGATGCTTCTGCTGCACGAGTGGCATTGGGTATGTACCTTTTCTTTTATATGTTGTAGAAGGTGCTTTTTTGAGGGAGATCAGCTAGGACATCTGTAAGAAAATACTCCTTTTTCATGAGGTAGCAGCTAAGAAAGCCACAAAGGACTGTTAAGCTTGTCACCCCAAAAGAATTACATTTTTTTCTGAAAGCAAATTTTTATCCAGAAAAGCTGCTTTTTCTGTTCAGAAGTATCAGTACTCCCCAAGCTTCCATCTGTATTATGTGAATCAGTATAAGTTCTCCCATGAATTTCCGTGGGTGCAAGTTTAAACTCTATAACAAAAGCATAAATGGTCGTAGCTTCTTGTACATGTAAGACTATGACATGCCATGAGCCCACCAGTTCCTTCACTCTGCTTTGTACTTGTTTTCTTAAGAGAAATCTGGGCACCTCTTGGCCAATGGGTGTGCCAGGATCAGTTAGTTGGATGATGAATGCTGAGGGTGGGTGGCCAAAGAGTAGGAAAGATGGTGAGTGAATGGCTAAAAGATGAAAAAAAGCCATAAAGGAAATGGCATTACACGTTTTCATGATAGTTTAAGCCCCATACAGACACTTTTCGTAGCTGAAGACCTTCATAACCAAGGCAAATGTGGCACAGTAGTTAAAGTCTGAGTTCTTAAGCACATGTTCCCCTAAATAGGAATGTTTTCCTAAAAGAGGAAATAAATGAAGTCTTTTAAGCAACAGAAGGGAAATGGGGGTGGATTGCAGTTGAGGATTTTGGAGAAGAAACAGGAAAAAGGGGGGATGGCTGGCATATGAGAATGGGGCTGTGCAACATGTTGGAAAGTTCAGAGGAAATAGGAGAGCCAAGGAGGGAGAAGGATTTCATCTGTGAGAGGGAAACAGCTTGGAGAGGCAATCAAGCACAGGTAGAGGCCAGGTCCTGCAGAAAAGGTTGGGGGCTTAAATTGACTCTAGGAGAAGACAGAGCTTGAGAAGACTCAAAGGAGGGATGTTCTATACAATGATATAAAATAGATGATTTGGCTGTGCTTGCTTGGAGAGGCAGAGCAGGGAGGCAGGGAGGGAAAAACGACAACATGGTAAATTAAAAAGGTAAGTTGCATTGACAAGAGTATAATCACTGAGGTAAGAAAAAAGAGACCACGGCAGACATTGCTGGCACAGTGAAAGCACAAGCAGAAGGATGGACATGAGATGCACAGCTGTTGAATTTATGCTGACATCTGGATTCAGAAGAGAAGACAGAAGAAAAACATTGTAGATCAGAGCTGTAACAGCTCTCCCTGAACTATTCCTGACAGCTCTCTATATAACTTGTCCTTAAAAAGCTTCAAAGAAGGAGACTCCACAGCCTCCTCTGGGCTTTATCTGCAGGTTTGCCTGCTTATTCAATCAAAAAGCTCTTCTTTGTCCAAAGTCTCCATTGCAACTTGTCCAGTTCTTAATGGAGATGTGGGTAACATTCTATTCCACCTTTCTTTGCCCCAGATTTCTGGATATTTAGACTACTGTCTAAATATAGACAAAATAATATATTCTGTGAGCAAAAATATATCTCACTTCTGTTTACTCTTCTGTGAACTGAAGACTATTAGTTCTTCAAATCTTTAATCTTTTATCAGGAATGACACTAAAGAGTCCATGAGGGTGAAAAGGAAACAGGACAAGCAGAGGTCCAGGATGCACAAGGAGGTTTGAGAGCCATCACTGTAGAGGTAGGGCTGAGACCAGAATAGCAAATTAAGGTCATGGAGATGAAGAGAGCTGCCAAAAGAGAGATGAGGAGGAGGGACACTAGAAGAAAAGAGAACACCAAGGTAGTAAGAAAAGCAGGACAGCTGAGCTAGAGAAGTCAGAAAAGAAGATTAGGTTGAAGAGGGAAAGTTACTGCGCCCAAAAGAAGCATGAAGGCTCATTGCCATCTTAATGAAGTTGGCAGAAGACTGTCAAAGAGACAGATCTGAGGCCACTCTGACAGTCCAGAGAAGGAAGGAGGCTGAGAAGAAATCGAGGAAGACTGAAGCAATGAGAGTAATTATGGTGCACCAGGCTCTTGGAGACTGAGTAGATGGGGAAAATGTGTTCAGTGAGACCAAGAAATGTTTATTTAAGGTGCAGGAAATATGAGTTAGACGTAACAAGGAGAGCATGAGAACCATGTATAGAGTGGTTCAATTATAATCTATACCTCTATAGAGTGTATAGATTACAATTGAAGTAGTGAGTGGTAAAGCTGGTGAGAGGAAGGTGGGAATTGATGGGGTCAAGGATGCAGACAGAAGCCTATGATGTAGGCACAGAAAGAAAGCACCATGAAGAGGGAATCTCTTCACTCTATCTCCTATTCATGGCATTGGAAAGACACAGCCAATTATAAATTCATGTCAAGGATACTGAGGCATTCAGTAGCGTGTAGGGAAACCTGATGTGTTCATGAAGTAGAAAAAAGGGAGAAGAGGCTGGGAGAGACTGAAAGCAAAACTGAATGTTTCCTACCATGTTGAGGCAAAGAGGGAAGATCAGGGAGGATTTAAAGGACCAAGGTCCAGAGGATATTTGTGCCCATCATCCTGATGATACTCAGCTTTGACATTTTCTCCCACTTGTCATCTGGTTTGTAGTCTGCAGTGATTTGCACTGGACAGCTGGGCTAAAAATAATGGAACTTTTCTTCCCAGCTGCACTGATCCCATCCTTTCTGAGGCTGTCCAGCTGGGAGAAAAGGGTAGGGTAACTGAGGCTGGCATTTCAGGAAACCATCCCACCTTCATAACTGAGCACCTACCCTCTCCTTACAGGGGTCACCACGGTACTTACAATGACTACCATCAACACCCATCTGCGGGAGACTCTCCCAAAAATCCCTTACGTCAAGGCTATTGATGTTTATCTCATGGGCTGTTTCGTCTTTGTGTTCCTGGCACTCCTGGAGTATGCTTTTGTCAACTACATATTCTTCGGGCGAGGCCCCCGGCAGCAAAAGAAACAGAGTGAACGGATTGGCAAGGCCAACAATGAGCGCCACCGTTACGAGGAGAAGAGGGTGAGAGAGCAGGTTTGTCCCCTTCTTTCGTTGTGGCAGGAAACCTCAGACTCCACTGTTCATTCAGTCCCGGGTGAGCTGTGGAGCAGCCTTTCTCATCACAAGAGATCAGTTCCACTTCCCCTGTCTGGTGATTACTGGGAATGTTTTTCTCCCTGATCATTTTCTCGTCATCCTCAAGCCAGTCTCATCAAGACAATCCTCTTGCATAGAGCAGGTGTACCCAGATGTACCCATGTGGCTTTTATTTCTACCGTGTTGGGCAAATCATACTACCCAACTCAAAAGTTTGCTGCAAGCACACGTGGCTAGTCCTTTGACTCCAGCACTGGTGGGACCACCTTTTCAAATGCAAAAGTCCAGGTTCAGAGCTCACAAAATGACCCTGTCACTAGTATTGCTATGAAGAAAACAGCTCCCTGAGGGTGTGTCCGTGTGTGCTTTGTACACAGGATATGCCCCCTACCTTTTTGTCTGTCTTCCCTGTTGTAGGTTGACCCTTACGGTAACATCCTCCTCAGCACTCTGGAGATGAACAATGAGCTGCTGGCCACAGACATGATGAGCAGCGTTGGCGACTCTCGAAACTCTGTCATGTCCTTCGAAGGCTCAGGAATCCAGTTCCGCAAGCAGCTGGCCTCTCGGGATGGATTTGGTCACCACCCAACCCTGGACCGCCACGGTCCGCTGACCCACCATGCTGCAGCCCGCAACCGTGCCAACAGCCGTCTCCGCCGGCGGTCATCTAAGCTGAAGCTCAAAATCCCAGACCTGGCAGATGTCAGCACCATTGACAAGTGGTCACGAATCATTTTTCCAATCACCTTTGGATTCTTCAACCTTGTTTACTGGTTGTACTATGTAAATTGATGCCTGCAGCCTCCGAGAGAGATAGGGACAGACACTCAGACAATGACAACACAGGAGTGTTGTGGTCTTTTGGGTTTGGGTTTTACTCTTTACTATCATTATCATTTATTCCTTTGATTCATTAGATTTATTCTAAGCTTACTCTTCTCTTTTCAGCACATGTAGAACCACGGAGTGTGTGTTGGGGGGGTAAGGGAGAGAAGGGTATATGGGAGGGGTTTTGGTTTCAGGGAGGGATGTGTTTGCCTTGATTTTGGTTTCCTGCTGAAGGACTTCAACCATTGTAAAAAAAAACCAAACAAACAAAACCACAAAAAAAAAAGAACACTCAAAAAATCAAAAAAAAAAAAAAAAGGAAGAAAAAAAAGAGAAAAAAAATGACCTAAAAAAAAAAAAGAAAAAACACACAAAAAACAAGAAAAAGTTTTAAAAAGGGGGGAGGGAGATTTAAAGAAATTGAGTCAAAAGCTGGTGGGGTGATAGGTTATCTTGGCTGTGCTCACTAATGCGCTATCCTCACTTCCATTTCACTACTGAATTTCATCTTTCTCTACTCAGTGTTGTTATATTTTTTTAATCTTTCTTCTGTCACTGCTCTTAACCCCTTCATATTTATCCTTTCATGGATTCATGAGACGGCGGGGGTTCATTCTCATGCTATGAGATTTCTCTTTTCTTTTTCTCTCTCCCTCTCCCTCTCTCTTGCTTACAAGCCTAAAAGAATCTTTTAAACCAACAAATAAAAAAGAATATTTATTTTGGAAGAGCTGGGAAGGGGGGAGGACAAGGCAATTATTTGGGAGGGAAGGGGCAATGTGGGGTTATGGGAGGGGGGGAGCGAGGAGGGAGCTTATCAAAAACAAAGGCACATTTGCAAGTTGCCTTTTTCCACCTTCAGGAGTTTGCAAACTGTTTTTCCTGTATGAGTGCGTGTGTGCGTGCGAAGCATCTGTGTGCGTGTATGTGCGCATGTATGTAGACACGGATGTGTGCGTGCAAGCATGTTTTCTGGGGAGGGGAGCTGGGGAGGGGGGTTTTGTAATGTCTTTTGTAGAAAGAGAACACAGATGACATTTAACTGGCAGTGTTTTGGGGGAATAGCAGGGTTTTGTTTGTCCACTGCAGCTTTGTGAGGTTGGAGGTCGGAGTCTCAGCTCGCATTAAAGACAGAGCTGGGGAGGTAGACTGTGCAAATATATACTTGTTGAGGAAAGAGAGGGTTTTGGGGGTCAGCATCAGGACAGCGCTGCTGTTCACTGCTGGCATCTGATCTCTCATAGACTAAGCTGATTCAGCCCTGAAAGGAGGGGTTGTTCCCAATCTTTCCCACCCTGCATCTTTCTTACTGAGTTTGGTGAGAAAGGCAGTTGCAGGACTCTGAAAACTCAACCCTTCCCCCCATACCTGTTCCTTGTGCCAGACAAGGGACTTCACACTCCAGCCCACTGAGTGACCATAGCCTACGGCAAGGTGCTGGAAAGGGTGGTTGTCATTTAACTTTGTGCTTCGGAATGAAAAAGTCTGGAAATTATAGCTATCCCCTTTCCTAAGGAGTTCAGAAGCAAACTATGGGCTGGAACCCTCTGATCTGTACTGCTTCTATCAGGCCTTGCTTTATTTCTGTTAATATATGCGGAGTGTAGAGAAGAGCACCCTGTGTCCCTTCTTGCAGAAGATGTAACTAAGGATGCTGTAGAGTTCCATGCAGCATCATCCTGCTGGAAGAAAACAGTCTTCAAAGCCTGGGCAGGGTGAAGCTTGCAATGAAAATCCTGAGCTTGTCAGTGCTTATGGAAGCCCCTAAGTCTGCAGCAGCTTCCAGCCACTGGTGCTCATTATAAAGGTACAGAAGGGTAACTAACATGGCCTTGGACAGCAAGGTCAACTTTTTCCAAAGGAGCCAGTGACTTTTCAGGAAAATCACTGAATTATTGGCCACTTTGGCAATCACTGATGATTAATAATATCCCTTATAATATTAACAAAAGCCATGAAAATAATAAATTCACAAGTGCAAAACTTTAAAACTAGGGTCATTCTGCCATTCCTGGAGTAAAGATGAGAACCTTGTTCTTACCTGTTGGAGGTTTTTACATACCAGACACACACACTGCCTTGAATCCAGCCGTACCTTTATTTTCCTGCTAGCATTCCCTTCTTTTTTCCTTGATTCTCATTGTTTGGGTGAGCAGAGTGATCCTCTGAGACTAGGGAAAATCCTGTTTTTCAGATGACAGATGCATCTAATGCACATCTTTTCATTCATGCATTCATTCATTCATTCATTCATTTATGTCTACAGAAAATGTGAACCATTCATTATAGGCCTGAGCTAGTAGCACTGAAGTCATGAAAAGTTTTGCCTTGACTTGGATGAAGCAAGATCAGGGCTCATCAGAGTAATAAGTATTGTTATTTTTATATCAGTAATGTGTCTTACGCATTTTCTACTAACAGAATCCTAAGAAATAGGGCATCCATCCTTCTCAATCACTCCCAATCTCTGTCTCTCCCTCTCATGTTCATGCATGCATACATTTGGTCCAGGCCTCCTTGGACTCACCAAGGTTTTAGCACAATTGTTAAATCAGACTATTTCCAGCTGTCCTGCAGAACAGTCTCTTGTTGGTTTCCATATTCAAGAGTGATGCTGTTGAAAATGGGTTTTCCCAATATTGTTATAGCTTATGTTCTAGATGGGTCTATATAAGTCTGAAAAGTGAATGGAGCTGGATGATAGTGTTGGATTGGGTGATTTTGTTTACCCTATACACAGGAAGTTAAAGACTGGCCAATGGAGAAACTTACGCTTTCTAGTGGAATTCTATTTGGAAATGGCTTTTAAAGGTCTTAATGGAAGCCATAAAGTTGTGTTTTATGACATCAGCAGTATAATGTAGGTGGATATATGCATGTCAGATGACTGCAGTTTCCTGATGGAGGCTGCCTATCAGCAGGTTCAGTTTTCAAGGGGAGTCTAACCAGCTGATTGATGAATAAATACAATATCTAAACACTTACCCTTTATATATGTGATTGCAATGTAAAGGGTGGTAAGAACCAGAGAAGGGAAAAAAAGAGGCTGTTATAAGAAGCCTATAGCCATTGGAGGGAGAACAAATGGCCATGTGGTAAGATATTATGAAGCTGGGGGAGATGACTCAGGACCTCCAGTAATTTGATAGTTGTAGTAAAAGCCTGACAAATGTGTGTTAGGAATTAGAGACCTGAGAGCTCTCTCAACTGGTCCCAAAGACCAGCAGGAGCAATAGCACACAGATGATGCAAAACCCGCTATGCTCTTTGCTGCTTAGGCACTGAGCCCCACACAGAGTAGGGTCCTAACTGAGCCCATCCAGCACCCTGCAGGTACAGCCCAAGGCCTCCAGCTGGAGATCAGGCGCAGCTGGGCTGTCTTTCATATTTGAGGCTTCAATCAGAGATTGAGCCCAGAATTTCATAGAGACAATCCAAAAGCTTTCCAGGGAAAAAGCTCAGCCCAGCTTATTTTTTCACCTGCTGGGACTGGAAGCCAGACTCCTTTGCTATTGCCTCGGTTCTCTGTTGGCTGGGTTCTCTTTCTTATCAGGAGTCATCCTAGCTTCTCTCTTTGAATGTTTCTGACCTGGTATTACCAGGTCAGTTTTACTTCATAGAGTCAGTCTTAATATATTCAGACATCTGGACTATTTGGTCCTACACAATAATCTTTGCCAAAGAGTGTGAGGTCAGGACTTTTCACAGTTCAGGAACAGTCTTATGATTTCTGGTGACAGGGCAGAAAGCTGGAGAAAAACTGAATGTCCTGTGTCTCAGATGAGTAATAGAAAATATGTTCCCATACAGGGGTGAAGGAAGAATGCTGAAGGCCTTTAGAAATGCCCTCCTCCATAACTGAGGTGGCACCCCCATTTTCACCCTCCATAGCTGTCCAGATCCACCACTAAGAAAGACAACAAACCCATGTCTCATTTTGAGGTCCAGTGATCCAGAAAGAAGATAGTGGAGAAAAAAAGGCATTTTTGATCATACTTAAGGCTCAGAGGCTTCAAGCCATCACAAGCATGGGGAAAGGCATGAACTTCTCATGCAGTGGGTACAAAGTTCATCTCATAGGAAAAGTGGAGGGGATTTTCACACTGCAGCTCGTGTGCCCGCTGCTGTCCACCTTTTCTTTGTAAAGGGAGAGTAATGTGGAAAAAGGGAGGAAAGAATGTCCCAAAGTGGAGCTGCTTCTGACTTTCACTGTAGTGGTGCAGGAGGCAATTCTGATTGGGGCTTGGTTTGTTTGAGCTTGGGGCAAGATTGCTGCTTGCTGGGTTGTGTTTTTTAGCAGAGACTGCAAACACGAGCATGAGGGATGGTCTGGGCTGCCTGAGCAAGCTGGACTGGGGGAGAACGTTTTGCAACTTTCCCATGCATGACAGCCTAAGGCAGGCATGTGGAGGAGGAGAAGGAAGAGGAGAAACGGAAATGAAATCTCTCTCAGGATATACATGGCCAACGCAACTCTATCGTTTCATTTTCTGATACTGTATAGTGCTGTCACTCAGGGACCTTCAGGAACTAGGACCTTGGGACTGTAATCCTACCTGTCCCCCTCCTATCCCCCCTTCACCTTGGGTATTAAGAACTGAAAAGAGAATGAGAGAAAGAGCAAAAGAGGAAAACAAGAGCCCTGCTAGCAAATCCCTGCTATTTCATGGGTGAAAGTAAGGCTTTTTACTAAGGTAAAAGGAAAATATATACCTTTATATTCATGTCTTCAAGCATAAACCAGCCCGTAGTGTATATAGGTTAAGTTCACAGTGCATGAAACAAACAGGACTGTAGGTCTTAACTGGCATCCAGCTTTCTTGCATGCACATCTGACACCACGCCAGCAGCTTATGTCTTGCAAATAAGTAGGGAACCTGCCAAGGCTTGGCACTTCCTCTGTCCAATGGACAGCACATCCACTTCCCAGAAGCAGAGCCATGCGGGGAACTGATTCGGCTGGTCTGTTTGACCAGATCTGCTCCAGAGGCTCTGGCAGGAGGAGATAAGAGGTGGGGGAGGAACTGGTTTTGTTTTCTTTATTGTGAGGAGGAGGAGGGGGTTTTAAATCTCTGTTATCAGGCAGAGGAGAAACCTCTGGAGCTGCAGACCAAAGGCTTTAGGGAACGTGGTTACTGAAATCTTAATAGGATGGGATGAGGGGAGAGTTGTTGATGGGAGAGACCTGTAACTTCAGAAACAAAATAAATAGGAGAGAGATAGTGAAAATATATGTGCAATACAATAGGTTTGAAGGGACTAGAGCACTGAAAACTGGGGACCTCCACTGAGTCAGACAGGCTGGGTATAGCTGCAGGCAGCACTCGAGGAAACCCAGCCACAGCAGCAGTTCCTGGTCTCTGGGAGATGGTGAGGTCAGAAATGGGATAACTAGAGGAAGACTCATGATGCACTGCCATCAGCATGAGCTCAGTCCCTTTAGGCAGGGACAATCATTTGCATCAGGACAGTGTTGCAGGAGCTGGACTGGGATGCGCAGGGGAGCGAACGCCAAGCTGGAGCAAGGGCTGAGCTCTCCCCTGGTGTCAGAGATCAGAGCCAACTGGGCAAGAAACACCATGCGGGTTACCAAATGCTGATGCGACTGGGCTTACCAAGCAGGGTGGGATGTCTTTACAGTAGACATGGAAACTGGGTTGGGAGCATCGGTTTGGGTGAGAGATGTGAAACCTATGTGTTGGAAGCAGGACCTAACGCAGATGCTGGGAGGGAGGGTGAAAGGGTGGGAAGGGAGGGAGGGGAGCGGAGACTGGGGAGGAGAAGATGTATATAGCCTTGGGGTTTGGGTTTTATTTTTCATTTGTTTTTTTTTTTTTTGTTTGGTTTTGTTCTTTTATTCCTTTTTTTCTTTCTTTCTTTTTGGTTTGTTTGTTTTTTTTTTGGAAATGTTTAATTTCTGATGTCTTGATGTAAACCAAATAAAAATGGTTCTGTACATTCGGAAGTAAAGAACAGCTGAAAGGTGACAAGTGTAATAAAGAGGCACTGTCCTCCAGGCTGATACTATAATGCATTTCCCCAGACTTTTCCCACAGGGGTTGGAGGGCAAACCCGGTGCCTGTGCCTGCACACAGAGGTGCAGCCCGCTGGGATGGTGACCTTAGGGCTGGCTCCCTGATCCACCTCCAAGCGCAGTACAGAAGAGGTGGGCAGTAGTGCTGGAAGTGATGGTATATCAGTAACTTCTAGTGTTTAATCCTACCACCCCTGAGGCCACTGGGAGGAGGAGGAGGCTGTGTATTGAACCCTAACCTCTTGCGCACATGGTCTCTTCCTGGAGAGCCAACCTGCACTATGCCTTACTGTACCTTGGGATGTAGTGATGAGGGTGAAGACGATCTCAAGTATCACTTGCATAAATGAAGTAACACAGATGAAGGCAGTATGAGTCTGAACTTACTTGGAAAAGCTTACGCTGCTGCTGCTTTCTGCCCTTTGACTTAGTCTAGCATGGTAAGTGCTAGGAAATGTCCAGCTGCTCATAAAATGTGAAGATTTATCTTAAGATGCTTTGCAATTCTTGGCAAGTTTTGTGAAGCATGGGTTTAGAAGGGAGTGAAAAGCAGGGACTATGTGTTGAGCTTAATTATCTGGTTTAGTGGCCATTGGCCTTGCAGAGACAAATTCTTCAGCAGAAGTACACATCAGAAGTACAAATGTGTAGGCTCAAGTGTAGGGCACTGATTGAATTTGGATTGAGGGGCACCTGGTTTCTGTGCAGCTTCCAGTTAGCAGAAATAAGCAATGGGGAATGTCAAGGATGATGATTGTAGTGAGTCTGAGACATACAGGTGACCCTCTGTGTTACAATCCATCTTTGTTTGGACTGGGAGGCATGTCAAGAGCAAAAAGCAATATGAGAAGTTATCCATCTTATGTTTAGTGCTTTGGAAAAGCAGAGGACAGTCTTGCCTCCATGGGGCAGAAATGGCTTTTTTCTACAGCTAGGCCAATGAGTGTTGTATCGTTTGTGTTACTGCAGTGAGGCTGAAAGAAAAAACTTTAGGTGGAAGTCAAACCAGAGGGAAGTGTCAGTTCTCTTAGGAAAGGCTGTTGTTGTTCAGCAGTAAGGCTTCTCTCCACTGCAGATGCTACTCCAGCTAGAGTGCATCAGCACAGTGCAGCCACACAGCTCTGACTCAGCCATTTCTGCTGATGAGTGGGCCAAGCAGGACTGGTGGATAAGCAAGGACAAGCTTTTTGCAGAGCCAAAACAAGGAGTTGTGTGAGCATGAGCTCCTGCAGCCTATTGTGCTCTAGACTAGAAAACCCTGGAACAGAATGTGATCCCTTGCTCCAAGAAGATTATGCTGTCATCATCTATCTCCTAGAGACAATGGACTCAAACCACCTCAAGCCACCTGTTCTCAGCTCTATGCTATGGGCTGCCTGCTCCCATCTAAGATAGCCAAAACTTGCCAGTGCCACAGCCAGGAAGCGCTTACAGAATAGTATTGAACATGTGTGTGACAAAGTGGGGAGATGAGGAGTGGTAGACCCATTTATGATACAGGGATTCACATTTTATCATTTGCACAGGCTGAGATCAGCAAGTACACTGGCAAACTTTTCCCCCAGAAATGATGAGGTAGCACATGGTGAGTAACACTGTTTTTTTGGAGAGGGCGATAATTTCTCCTCCAGTATCTGTTTTAAACAGCAGAACAGTATTGGTTTGCCTTAAAGGCTGATGCCTTCCAGCTCTCAGTGCCATGCCAGCTGAATGATGTGGGCAGCTCCAGGGTTAATTGCCATATTCAGATGCTGGGTCTAGGTCTTATTTGGGGATCCAATGGACAGAGTGTCCAGGCAGGAGGGTCAAAGATATTTTCCCTGACTTTCCCAGCCCTCTGGACATGTCTTTGGCTACAGTGTGCTTCACTGGGTATGCTGTCTTGTGGCTCACGCTCCCCAGCTGCACAGATAGCCCTGGCACTGCTGAGCCTGGTGAGGAGGACTTGGG